GCCCAGGACAGAACAGGCTGTGGAACTGGCTGCTTCCAGACCAGGCCCCCTTGGAATAGATGCCCACACGTAGGCTGCTCACAGAAGGTAGATGAGCAGGTGTGGGCACTTCAGGCTAGAGGAAGGGTGGAGCAGGATGTGAGCAGGGGGCCAGGGAAGGTGGTCTAGGGGCAAGCTGGCCATGCTGGCCTGCCATCTGGCAAGCCCAAGGCCTGCTTGAGCTCAGCTAATCTACCTTAAACCAAACAAGATCTTTGTACCCTCCATACCTCATCAGGACGTACGTCTCAGACCTAATGGATTCAGTGTTACCGTCATCAAGGAGTGGCAATACTGCTGGAGGAGCTGAGCCCAGGCCAAATATTAGCAGATAGCATGAGGTTCCTGGGTGAGGCTGGGAGTGTTGATCTGATCAAGGCGCATGCACCCAGTCTTCACTTTGATCAGCGCAGGAGATAAAGGAATAGCCAACTTCCCTGCCAGAGCCTGGTTTTAGGGCTTCTCTGTCCTAATTATATTGATCCTAGCACTTGGTAGGCCTTGGTCTCTGCTCTCCTTCCAGGAATCTCGACTCTAGCCCCTTCCTTGGTATCACAGTGGTTGCACATCTCATCTCACATTCTTCTCTCTAGGGTTATCACAGCTGCTCTGAGAGTTAGGCTGGAGGTGGTATGGGTTGGCAAGCCCACTTCTCAAATGGAAGAACATGCGCGAGTCCAAAGAAGGGAAGGAATGGATTCATTCAAGTTCACCCAAAAAGTTGAGCAAGGACCTGTCTATGGCTTGGCTCTTACCTCCTGCCACTTACTTCCTCACTCATTTTGCTTTAGCCATAATGGACTCCTTGGTATTTTCTTCTTCTCCTCCTCCTCCTTCTCCTCCTTCTTTTGCAGTACTGGGGTTTGAACTCAAGGGCCTACACCTTGAGCCACTCTACTAGCTCCTTTTTTATGAAGGATTTTTTCAAGATAGGGTCTCACAAACTATTCACCCAGGCTGTCTTCAAACCACTATCCTCCTACTCTCTGCCTCCTGAGTAGCTAGGATTACAGGCGTGAGCCACAAGTGCCTGGCTGATATTGACTTCTTGCACATGCTGACCTTGTCCCCACTTCAGGGCCTTTGTACTTGTAGTTTCTCTGTGGCAGATGCTTCTTCCAGATCTCTGCAGGACGTCTTTCTTCTCTGCTCATAAAAGAGTAGCCTCCTCCCCTCCATCACTCTGTCCTTATGCCATTTTATCTCTTTCTTCTCCATAGCATGACATATGTTTACTGTCATAATTCTCTGTTGTCTGCCACCAAGTAGAGTGTTAAGTGTGTAAGCTCCTTGAATCATGGACTTTCTGTCTTATTTATAGCAGAATCATTAGTAACTACAATAGTCATAAAGCATGATAGGCAATAAAGAAATTTGAATGAATGAACAAACTGAGACTACCTCTCTCCTGGTCAAGGACTATCCCCCTATACCTCTTTGCATCCCAGACAAGCCGGAGAATGGGGAGAGTGGGGGAGGGATTGGCTCAAGCTGGAGGGAAGCACCCTTTTCCTTTGCCAGAAACACACGACACTCTGACCCAGGCCATGCCACCTGGAGTCTGGTGTGTCAGGGACTAAAAAGCATGAGGGGATCAGTGGGGAAAACAATTGCCTCTCATTCAGAGCCTTTTCCTCAGATTGGCACCATCTCTACTCTAGGGATTACTGTCCTCTGCCTCCTGTTATAGCTGTCACTCAGCATTTATTGAGCACCTACTGTGCACCAGGCTCAGGACTGGAGCCAGGGAACTAGAGATAAGTAAAGCATTGTCCTCATTCCCAGGGACCTCACAGTTAGTCAGCAAGGTAGATGGCCAAACACCACCAGAGCACCTGTGAGGTGCTGACAGACAAGGAGAGGGGCAGCAGGAGTGGGACTTTCTGGGTGGGTGACAATGCTCATACTCAGGTTGACAAGGGCAGTTAGAGAAGTTTCCAGAAGAGGGGATGTTTGAGCTGTTTCTTACAGGACCAGGGTAGGGGAATGGAGAAGACACCCAGCAATGCCAGTAAAGAGAATAAATTGTGAGGAGAGTTCAGGTGAACTAAAGAAGTGCAGGAGGACCAGGGATGGTTCAAGAGCTATTCAGGAAGCAGACCTATATGCTTAGTGGGAGGGCAAACAAGATGGATGGGTCAGGGAGGGTGCTGGTGGCTCATGCCTGTAATCCTAGCTACTCAGGAGCAGAGATCAGGAGGATCGTGGTTCGAAGCCAGCCCAGGTAAATAGTTAAGAGACCCTATCTCAAAAAAACCCTTCGCCAAAAGAGCTGGTAGAATGGCTCAAGGTGAAGGCCCTGAGTTTTTGCCCCAGTATCACAAAAAAAAAAAAAAGAGAGAGAGAGAGAGATGGATGGGTCAGTTTCCAGGATCCTCTGCTGGAAATGGTTGGGATATGGGGTGAGGGAGCAGATGTTAAGGCTGGTCTGGTCCCCAGTAACCATCCTAGGCTCATTCCATGCCCCTATCAGGCTTACTAACCTCACCTTACCCTCATGACTTCTTTGTTCTTTGGATGGGATAAATTTCTTCCTGCCTTAAAGCTCTCACATGTTCTGTTTCCTCTGCCTGCAACACTGTTCCACTAAGCTTGTCCCACCCTGCCCCTGGGTATTCTCTGACTCACCAATGGACCAGCCAATCTTAGTTCCTCTCACAGCACTGAGTATGTCTCATAAGTCCCTGGAACTCATCCCAACAGTGATAACACAATTCTGTAAAACTTTCTGATTTACTCCCTGACTTATTGATGCCCTTAGCATGGAGTTTAGCTCTTAGCTGCTCATTTAACACTTGTTGAATACTTGAATTGTGAATTGATGAATGACATTTATTCGGATGCACTGACACCTGTAGGGGTGCCGTCCAATAATAGTTGGAGATAGGAGTTAGGCTCATCCTTTGATGAGATGAGAGATTGGAAAGTTTATTACCATGAATGGATCTAGAAGGTGCTTGTCCAGTGAACGAGACCTTGGCCACGGGGATGGAGGGGCAGGCTGGCACTCAATGGATTGCCCTTGACTTCACTTTGTTTTTTTTTTTTTTTGGTCTGTACTGGGGTTTGAACTCAGGGACTCACACTTGCCAGACAGGTGCAATACCACTTGAGCCACTCTGCCAGCCTTCTTGGTATTTTGAAGGACACAGAATTCAAGTGGCCTGGTCCCTCACAGCATCTAAAACCATAAATAGTCATTTCTGCCACATTGGTAGAGCTCTAAAGTTCAAAATAAGGGAGGAGACAAGTCTCTTTGCTTCCCCTCTGACCCTTTCTCACTCTACCATGGGACACTGATGGATAGCCAGGGGATCAGATGGGAAATTAAGACAGCCAAGGAGTGTCATTGAGTGCAAGTATAGAGGCAAGCAAGGGGCTAGACCTACTCAGTCTGGAGGTGCTCACTTGGGCTTCATGCAGGTGAGGAAGCCAGACACAAAACTGGTCCCCCCTGCCCCCAAGGAATCTTAGGACCGCAGATCCTTTGTGTGAGGAAGGACTCTCTGTTCAAAGTCTTCCAACAATGAAACTGGTAGAGGTAGTGCGCTCGCTATCACTGGAGGATGAATGACTTCCTGGGGCTGCTGTAGGAAGACCTGGGTGGAACACAGGAGACTAAACTTAGATAGCCTTTCAAGTTCCCTTCCCTTTATGAGGGGATTTTCTTGCTTTAGGACCAGAAATCATCATTAACTATTTGCTTGGCTCAGCAATGGAAAGGTATGTGCCACCTGCCTCAGAGACATCCGTGGACCTGTGCAGGTACCTAAGGAGGAACAGAAGAATTTTGAAGCTGAGTCAAGGACCTTTGGGGACCTCAGGCTGGACTCCGCTGCAGATCTGGGGCCTCTGTGGATCTCTAGAAGTGGCTATCTGGCTGCCTGGTACAACTAAAGAGGCTTTTCTTGAACAAAACTCCTCCACTAATTCATTGTGTTAGTCTTACAACTTCTCTGTAGACTTCAAATCTTTCAAAACAAACAAATTACTGTTTCACAGTAAACAAAAAAAAATGTTTTAACACTGATTTTTTTTTTTTTGAGGTGCTTAGGATGGAACCTAAGACCTTGTTCACATAGGCAAGCACTCCACCGTTGAGCTACATCCCCAGATCTTTAGTTTTGAGACAGGGTCTTGCTAAATTGGCTGTGGGGTTTGAACACAAGGCCTTGTGCTTGCTAGGTAGGCAGGCACTCTACCACTTGAGCCATGCCCTCAAGCCCTTTTCTGTTTTTAGTTATTTTTTCAGGTAGGGTCTTATAGTTGTGTCCAGGGTTGGCCTGGACCACAGTCCTCCTACCTATGGCCTCCTATGTGTCTGGGACCACACATACTCACCACCATGCCCAGCTTAATTGTTGAGATGCAGACTTCTTGCCTGGGCTGGCCTGGAACTATAATCTACCCTATCTCTGCCTCCTGAGTTGCTGATGTTACAGCTGTGAGCCACCAACCTGTCTTAGAAAGTGACTTTTCTGAGATCACACAGTTGGGTGGGCAAGGCACTGGCAAAGATATACACACTTCTCCAACCCCCTTTCTTTGCCACTTGCTGCTTTTTTTCTTTCTGTTGTGCCTCTTTTTATCTTTCTCTCTCTCTCTCTCTCTCTCTCTCTCTCTCTCTCTCTCTCTCTCTCTCTCTCTCTCTCTCTCTCTCTTTCTGCTTCAATTTCCCTTTCCTTGCTCCAACCCACAGACTGGAGTTAGCTTTGCAAGTTGTCCAAATCTTTTCTCACTCTGGACATCTGCCAGCTCCATAGCTGTCACACTTGCTTAGCATCCCTGCCTTGAACAAGCCTTTTCCAGATACCAGGATGCAGAGATTAACTTGGGGTGACGCTCTGGCCTCCAACTGGACCCAGATAAGATAAGGGTGGAGATAAGCGCTATAAACAGGATGCATACTCCCTTCCATCCATGGCCCCAGCTAGCTGAGGCCACACCAGCTCAGGATCAGCATGGCCATTCGCCTGTGGATGGTCACCCTGGCCTTGGTGGCCCTCCTCATTGTGGACAGGGGTGAGTGGTTGGTGAGAGTTGGTTTTGGTAGGTAAACTTGGGGGTGTGGGCTGAGGCAAGGTCTGGAGCTCCTTGTGAAGCCTCAGCTTTTGCATATGCCTTCCTTCTGCATGAACCCCCTCCACTGTGGTGAGCAAAGCCCTGACTGGGAGAAGAGAAACTTGGGTTCAAATCCTGACTCCAGCCCAGAATTGCCAAAGTTCCCTCCCCGTTTCTCCGGTTGTAAAGTATGTTGTTCCAGATGGAGGTTGAGGAGGCAGAAGGAGCAGATGGATCTCAGCTTTCAGAGGAGATAGACAAGTATGCTGGCTGTGGGGTGGTGGGTGCTAAGGCAGAACTGGCCTGGGTCCTCTGAGCTTCTGTTCCACTCTTGAGTAGATAGTTCTTCAGTTGGGAAGATTAAGGATCCTGCTTTGAAGAAGGTCATTGTGCACTTTTCAGATTCCTGCCTAAATTGAATGAGGGTCAAGATCAAGAGAAAACTGTAGGTAAATGCAACTTTGATACCATAGTGTTCTGAACGCTCCCTTCCCTCCATGCACTTTTTTTTTTTTTGGTGGTGCTGGGGTTTTAACTTAAGACCTCAGGCAGGCATTCTACCACTTGAGCCACTCCACCAGCCTTTTCCTAGAGATTTTTTTTCTTTCTTTCTTTTTTAGGCAGTATTGGGCTTTGCATGAGATGCTAATAATTTATTATGAGAGATTTCCAAGGCAGAGTGGAAGAAGGGAACTGAAATTGTCACCTCTCATGTGCTGTTAAGCCTGGCAGTAAGGCATCAAAATGTAAATCTAGCCTTGTCACTGCTAGCCATGTCATAATTTCTAAAACTGAAAATGACCCAAATGTCCTTCCACAGAAGAGTAGATAAATAAACTGGGATACTTCCCCACAATGGGACACTGCTAAACAATAAAAACAAACATCTGAACACACAACATGGTTGAATATCAAAAACATTTTGCCAAGTGAAGGAAAAAACACAAGAGACTACATAGAGTGGGATTCCATTTATGTGAAATTCTAGAACAAACCAAATAACCTGTGGTAGAAAACAAAACCAGAGCAGTGGTTGCCTCTGGGCACTGCATTGAGCTGTACTGCTCTGCTGCCTCTGAGCAGTGGGTGGCGGCCAGGATGGACTAGATTGGCATGAGGGAAATTTCTGAGGTGTATCTTGTTTTTGTTTTAGAAAGCAAAGATTTGTTAGGACTTAGGACACCACTGAACCCTTTCAAGGGTTGGTGAGCAGTTGTGCAAAGGAGCATAGCACCTGTTCTGTATCTTATTTTTGGTGGTACTGGGAGTTTGAACTCAGAACCTCATGCTTGTTAGGCAGGTGCTCTGTGACTTGAGCCACTCCGCTAGCTCTTTTTTTGTGTTGGGTATTTTGGAGATAGGGTCTCATAAACTATTTTCTGGGGGCTGGCCTCGAAACTTGATCCTCCTGATCTCTGCCTCCTGAGTAACTAGGATTACAGACATGAGCCACCAGCGCCCAGCCCCCCAAGGTACTTTATTGATCAATTCCTCAATACTCCCTGTGGGCCACTGACTGGGGGCAGAGATGAGAAGCTCCAAGCTCATGTTCATAAGAAGGTGGGGTTTTGTGATGAAGCCTAAATCCAAGTCTGCTCAGGGAAACTTGGGCAACAATCGGGAAGGCTTCTGAGACTTGAAAGGATGGTGTGATTCAATAGAAGGGAATGGAAATAGGGACATTTCAGGCAAGGGGAACCACGAAAGCAAAAGCACAGCCTGTTCCAGGAACAGTGAGCTAGAAAGTGAACCCAAAGAGCAAGGTCAGAGTCAGTTGATACAGTACCATAAACATAAGGCAGACTATGGAGCTCAGGTCCAGAGAGAGGCTGAGTGATCATGATGACAGCTAGAGAAGGGCTTTCTGTTTTATTCTTTTTCTCTTTGGTTTTTTATTTGTTTGTTTGAGACAAGGTCTCCTCAATATATTTCCTATGTTGGCTTCAAATTCTTGATCTTCCTGCCTCAGACTACCAAGTGCTAGGATTTCAGACATGTGTCATGACATCTGGCTTTTTAATTTTTTAAATTCTTTTCTTTCCCCTAAGAGTTGCATATCATGAAATGTACAATCTTTTCACCCAATGAATCTTATGAAGGAGCTTTGACAATGTATACACTTGTGTAACCCAAAACTCAATTAAGATACAGAACAGACCAGGAGCTGATGGCTCATGTCCATAATCCTAGCTATTCAGGAGGCAGAGATCAGGAAGATCACAGTTGGAAGCCAGCCCAGAAAATAGTTCACAAGACCCTAGCTCTAAAATACTCAACACTAAAAAGGACTGGCAGAGTGGCTCAAGTGGTAGAGTGCCTTCCTGGCAAGCATGAAGTCCTGAGTTCAGGCCCCCAGTGCCACCCAAAACAACAGAACAGGTGCTATGCTCCTTTGCATAACTGTCCACCATTCTATCCCTTTCAATGGTGTCCTAATAAATCTTTGTTTTCTTCTTAAAAAAAAAAAGATAGACATTTCCACTGCCCCAGAAATTTCCCTCATGCCAGTCTAGTCCATCCTGGCCCCCATGGCTACCACCCATGCTCAGAGGCAGCAGAGCAGTACAGCTCAATGCTGTGCCCTGAGGCAACCACTACTCTGGTTTTTTTCTACCACAGGTTATTTGGTCTGTTCTAGAATTTCACATAAATGGAATCCCACTCTATGTAGTCTCTTGTGTTTTTTCCTTCACTTGGCAAAATGTTTTTGATATTCAACCATGTTGTGTGTTCAGATGTTTGTTTTTATTGCTTAGTAGTGTCCCATTGTGGGGAAGTATCCCAGTTTATTTATCTACTCTTCTGTGGAAGGACATTTGGGTCATTTTCAGGAAATTATGACATGTAATGGTTTTAAGCAGCACAGTGACAAGGCTACATTTACATTTTGATGCCACACTGCCGGGCTTAACAGTATATCAGGGGTGACAAGTTCAATTCCTTTCTCTCTCTGCCTTGGAAATCACTTGTAATAAATGACATCTCACAGAAAGCCCAGTACCACACAAAAATCTCTAGGAAAAGGCAAAAGCATATTGGCTGATGGAGTGGATCAAGTAGTAGATCACCTGTCTAGCAAGTGTGAGGCCCTGAGTTCAAACCCCAGTACCACCATCAAAAAAAAAATAGAAAACACAAAACACATTGCCTTGCACACCTCTGCTGATGGGGAACTCTACTTCTGGAGACAGCTTCCTTCACTGTAGCCTAATTCTCACTGAGAGAAAATTCTGCTTCACATGGAACCCAAAACCACCTCCTCCCTACTGCCTCCCTGCATGGAGGGTAAGAAGAGCCCATCTCTCCCTCAGCCCCTGGATAGCCCTTTAGAAACTTCAGGAAGCATCCTACCTTTCCCAAACTTACATGACCACCCTTCATCCACCTGTGCCTTTAGCTATAGCTCTAGTTCCCACATTGACCTGTAATGTTCACTGTCACCTCAGTGCTCATATCCTATAAGCAGTTCAGCCAAACTTCGAGGGGTTCAACTGTGTGTGTACAGTCAGGCTCTAGACAGAACCGTGTGCAAATCCTAGCTCTACCTTAACAGATGTGCCACTTGGTCTCTTTGAGACTTTGTAGGTCAGTTAAGTATCCCAGGAAATGGACCCTGAGATCTGTGTTCACCTTACTGGGGAGGTGCAGGGGAGTAACATCCATGAGTGATGAAGGAAGTTGACTGACTCTGTGAACCAAGATGACCCTGCAGGGAGCTTTGGACCTGGGTGGCTCTGAAGCAATGCTGTAAATAAACAGGAGGGTTGAGGCCTTTGTAGATACATCAATGTATCAATGATAAGGACTGTTCCAGGGTAGGGAACACTGGATAATTCCTAGGAAGGGAGTTGTGAGCAGACAACCCTCATGGCAGCTGGAAAATAAGTGCCTCAGTGCTATAGTGTGCTTTAGACACAGACCACAGCATCCACAACTACTTCCTTTCTCTAAAGAATGGCTAAAGTCATGTATTCACAATGCCTGGCATGTAGTTAACTGCTAAATTATTGTTTTGAAATATTATGGGACATACCAATTCCAGTGGGATGTGACTAATGAGAAGCAGACTGGATGGTCACCTCCCTAATTTCTAGACTTTCTGTCTCTATTCATGTAACCCAAAATGGTATCAGTTTTCTAGAGGCCCCATTGTGTGGAGACTCACTAGCTTTTCCTTAAGGAATTCCAGCATGGATCCTGTCCCTGGAGACTAGGCCCCCGGAGAAGAAGAAACAGTCCTCAGATCCTTGGACCTGGGACATAAAGCTGACATCACCTAATTTTGCTTTTTTGTCTTGCAGAAGTGCCAGTGTCAGCAGGAGAGTTCATTTTCTCGAGAATGGTAAGGCATCTGCTTGCTGTTCTTGCCTTCCCTCTGCAGAGCTGAGTCCTCTCACTCATGCTGGGAAACCAGACTTATTCTTCTCCACACACCTGCTCAGACAACCTTCAATAACCCAAACTGACCAGTGAGCCTGTGTGTTTCCCATTATCCCCACGGGGAAAAACATGCATAGCTCCCTTTCCAAAGTCCTGAGCCTGGCCTCAAAGCCCTCAGGATCTGCCTCAACCTGGTATCTAAGGCCCCTTTCCTCAGTGGGCTTTCCCCATCTGGCTCAGTGAGACTTTGCATATTGCAGACAGGCCTCAGGAGTCACGTCCAAAAGGGGACACTGGCACAGAGTACTGTAAGTCCCTACAGAGTGTGCCAGTCCTCCACTGCCCTCCCATCTCATCACTCATCCCTTCACTCTGACTGGGCAAATGCCAAGTTTCTGAATCCTGATTTCTTCTTGGCCCTGGTTCTGATGTCTCCAATGATCCCAAGGCAATGGTGCTGGAATCCTTGGGACCCTCAACACACACCTTCACATACAGCAGCCTCAGCATCTTCTCCACTAATTCCAGTCCCATTTACTTGGTGCCAGATAAAGAGTCTTTTTATTTTGTTTTTTGTGATTCTGGGGTTTGAACTCCAGGTCTTCAGCTTGCTAGGCAGGCATTCTACCACTTGAGCCATACCTCCAGCCCACGAGGCAAATACTTTACATACATTATTTCAATTAACCCTGGGAGAACATTATTATTTGTAATTTTTACAAGTGAGGAAATGGAGAGTCAGAAACTGAAAATAGCCCATCCAAGTTTACACAGCTTGTTAGTGGCAGAACTCAGGTCTCTAGAGCCTGGGCTTTCAGTGCTACGCTGCACTGCCTCCCAAGAACCTTGTCCCTGTCCCAGGCCTCAATACCAGTATTGACTTGGTTCTGATGCTTAGGCATGGCCTGAAACCCTTTCAGACTGGGCTTAATTAAGCTCTAAGCACTGTCTCATTTCCCTAGCCTGCCCATGCTGTGCAGCCTTCCTGCCAAAGGCCTGATCATGGGGACCAGCGTAAGTTCAGGAACCCCTGAGGAGTGAGACTTCTTGGCAATTATGAGTGGTTCTGTCTCCTGGGGTCAATTGGAACAGCAGCAGAGGTTCTAGTTGGACTCTCTGACAAGAGAGTCCCCAGGAGTTTGAGGGTACAAACTCACTCCAGAGACATACACATAAACATATGAACACAACTTGGATACCCACACACCTGGGCTCAGCAGACACACAGGTACATACTTGTACTTATGCACATACCCAGCCTCAGACACACGCATGGCCATGCACACACACATAAGCAAACACACCATGGGGTTCTGAGTAGTAGGTTTCATGTTCACTGGAAACACACTGGGGCCTCAGCATAGGGTCTGTCTCCACTGCTTCTCAATCCCTGAGTTCCCTTCCCTCTTCTCACTTCCACAGCCCATCTGTGAACACATGGCGGAGCCTCCAAATTGTGAACAGACACTTAACCAGGTCTGTGGCACTGATGGGGTCACATACGACAATGAATGCCATCTCTGCGTGACCCGGATGTAAGTCCCTCCCCAGCCCAGTTTGCTTGAGTGGGCCCCATCTCTGGTGCATGCAAGTCTAAAAGGAGCAAGACTTTATTGCTTCTTCCTTCACACACACTTGGCCTGGGAAGACTCTTCTGACATTTTTTCCTTACAGAATGAGCCCAAGTGTAATTGTAATTCCAGGAAGGCACATGGTTCCAAGTAGAAAGCCAGAAGCTGGTGGGGGTTGGGGTAGGGTCAGAAACTGTTCTTTTCCTTGCTCTTTCTTTCTTCTCACCAACAATTATTTATTGAGTACTTACTATGGGCTAGGCACTGAGGCTAGAACAGAGCGTAGTAAGTTAGACAGCATTGCTAGCATCCTGGAACATATAGCCAGGCCAAGGAGGAAACCAGGCTAATGGTCAGCCAACTGCAGCACAGAATGCTCATGACTCAGATGGGAGGATGTGAAGAAACAGGAACAGAGAAGACTACCTGGAGGAGGTAGCAACCTCCTTTCAGCTTTGAAAATAAATAGAAATTATCTAGAAAAAAAAGAAGGAAGAAAATTCCAAGTAGAAGGATGAACGTTCAGAAAGGCCTAGAAGGGAAAGAAAGTTTGAGGAACTGTAAGAAGTTGGATATGCTGGAGGGTTAAGTTTAAAGGAGAATGGAAAAGCAATAAATAGTAAGTAGGGTGTCAGAATATGACCTTGGTACATGAGGTCTTACTTAGTCTGTTTCCTCACCCAACGAACTCCCAAGAGTCTGCCTGAGTTGTAGATAAGATCATGGAAGAGACGAAAGTCCTTGGAAACTGCAAAGCTTTAGAAAGACGTGAGTTTGTATTGGAAGAAATATATGGACATCACCCTAGCTTAGAAAAAGGCCATGAAAATTAGATTCATGGTTAGGAGACACATTAGGGGTAGAACTTACAGGCTTAGTGTGTGATTGGGTATGAAGGTTCAGAGAGGAGGAAGGAGCACATGGTTTTCCTTTTCTTTTCCTTCTTTTTTTTGAGAAGGGGTCTTGCTCTGCTGCCCAGGCTGGTCTCAATCTCCTGAGCTCAGGTGGTCCTCCCTCCTAAACTGGGATTAGAGATGTATACTACCACACCTGGCCTTTAAGATGCTGGTTTCTAACTTGTGGACTTGGTGATGAGATGGGAATTATGGGGTAAAGAGGATAGGAGTTTTAGGGGGACAATGATGTTCACAGACAGTCTGGTATACCCTGGTGGAGATGTTCAATGGGCAACTGCACAAAAAGCAGGACAGAGATCCAGGCCAGAGACAGTTTTGGCAGCCATCAACTTGCAGTGTGGTTGAAACCCCAGGAGGTTGAAATTTCCTATGAGAAAGATGTGTAAAAGGCAGTTATGCAAGGATGTATTCATGGACTCCTGGGAACTGCCTTGCATCTGTATACTGGGAACAGACTGGGTTTGGAATGTGGAGGGTACAGTATGGTTCCTATCGAGGTGGCCTCATCCTTGTCTCCTGTGATCCTAGAAAAACCAAAAAGGACATCCAGATCTTGAATGATGGCAAATGCTGACTCCAAAGGAGCATCTCAATCTATGAAGCTTCAGGCTGGAAAACAGTAGTGGGCAGGGAGAGAATATAACCTGAAATAAAAGATTCAGCACAACTCAGAAGTGGACCAGTCTTTGGGGACTCTGGGGAGGTGATTACAGTAAAGGGTGGAGTGGTCTTTGCACTGTGCCCCCTGCTCTGAATATGATGTCCAGCTCCTCTGCATCCCTTTGGTGCTCCTCAACCTTGTCATATGTCCCCTCAAGGGTCCCAGTTATCTGCTGTCTACTTGAGAAGCCAGCCTATGGACAGTGCTTCTGCCTGCCCCAGCCTGGACTGTTATCCAGACCAAGCACATAGGTGATATTAAGATCCTCTCCCTGAGCACCAGTGGCTCACACCTGTGATCCTACTCAGGAGGCAGAGATCAGGAGGAACTCAGTTCGAAGCCAGCTCAGGCAAATAGTTTGAAAGACCCTATCTCAAAAATAGTCAACACACTGGGCTGGCAGAGTGGCTCAAGTGGTAGAGTGCCTGCCTAACAAATGTGAAGCAGTAAGTTCAAACCCCAGTACTGCCATAAATAAGTAATCCTTTGCTACTAGCTACTATTAGTGTGTTTCAACCTCCCCCACCCCTTCATGGCTTTCTCCTGGGCTGTACCAGCACTTTGAAGCAAACAGAGGAATATGGCATAGGCACAACTGATATTCAGGTCTTGTATACTATACAGTTGAATTACACATTTTAATAACAAACTAGTTCTTTTGGTGGTGGGGGGGATGGAATACTGGGGCTTGAATTCAGGACTTCACGCTTGCTAGGAAGTTACTCCACCAGCCCTCTTTTATTTTATGTTACCCAGGCTTGACTTCAAAATCCTCCTGCCTTAACCTAAGTGCATGGTGTGTGCCACCATGTCCAGCTTCAAACCAGGTCTTTAATAAACATTAAAAACCAGATGCTTCCCTAACCTACCCTGTCACCTGGAAATCCCTGGATCTCCCAGTGTCCAGTATCTAGGACAGCAGGATTATTTCTGGACCCTGCTCTTTAGGTCAACATTAGACCTGGTTAACATTATACACAATCCCAAGCACACATAACACCACGCATGCAAGGCCCAGAAGGATATAGCATCCAGAGGTACCACCAGGGATCCCAGCCAGTCTCCCTTTAGGCCAAAACCTAGATAGAGGAGACTCTCTTAGTGGTGGCAGGGGAAAGGAGTATAGAGAGGGTCCTGGCCAGGTAGGATTAGTTTCATACAGATTCAGATTTCTATTCTAGGGGGTTAAAAAGAGTAGGAAATGTTCTGGTTTACACATAACACTGAGAGGAAAGCCAGGCAGGGAAGGTGGAAATCAATCTTCTGTGGACCACTGAAATGGGATCACTAGGCAGCAGTTGTTGCTCATAAGATTCACAGGTGGCAGGAATTGGGAAGTCATCTATAGGCTCTCTGTCACTTCTGATTAAATTTGTTTCCTACCTGAATATGAATGATGTAGATTTAAGTTTGGCTACAAGACAGAAAACCAAAATAATAGTGGCTTAAACATACAGAAGTTAGTTTCTTTCACAAAGATCTACGAAGAATGACAACTCCATGCTCCTTCTATATTGTTAGTCTGCCATCTTCATCAGTATCCACCTCAATATCTAAGTCACTGGCTCCAACCCTAGCCATCATGTCTGTGTTCCAAACCAGACAGGAGTAAAGTGTACATCACCAAACTCTAAAAACACTCATCACGAGTTGTACGCACTGTGCACAATCCAGTGGCTAAAATGTCGACTCTTGGTCATGCTTAGAGCAAGGAGACTGCTTGCTCTAAATAAATCTTTATCTGTGTTAAACTTGTTGTAGGAGGGCAAAGTAGATCTTGGAGACATCTAAAAGTCTTTGTCTTAAATGGGAAGTCTTTCTTACACCTAAGTGGCACAGATCAGCCAAGCATCTTCTCAGTGACTTTTCCTTCCCAGCGTTCTACTCATACTCTAAGGAATCATGAAGATTAAACCTGAATAATGTGCCAGACACCCCACTGGAAGAAATACCTAAATAGCCATTTATAGCTATGGACCACTCCAAAATATGTGTTGGTTCCTAAAGACTTATCTATGGCACGTGACCATGCTGTCCTGGCCAAAAGATTCTTCCCCAGGGTTTTTCAAGCAGGAAATAAAGAAACATAGGCAGTTCCTTTCTGGTAATGAAAGTGGAAGATGTGTGACATAAAAGCTTTTGGCAGCCATGTTCCTATTTTGTGGAAGAAGCAAGACCAAGAAAAAGATGAGTATGTGCAAGGAGAAACAACAGGAAGTGATTCTGGGCAACATTTGAGTTCCTAAAGCCCAGTTACATATATGTGACAATAGATAAGTGGCTAACTGCTCTGTTAAAAGTTGAGAGGGGTATGGGGTAGACCCTGAGCTTTGACTACTTGTTTACCTCTACCATTACCTGGTCTGAGGTCTTTCCCAGCAGTCCTAAATTCTGGGACTTCAGTGAATTTTTCTCAGCCAAATGATATGGGCCTTACAGTGGCCTGTTGGGAGCCTGTCTCCTGAGCACTGTGCTAAAGAATGAGGTGACAGCAGCTGACCAGTTTAAAAAGAGTTCTAGCATACAGGGCCACTCTCAACTTTATTAATCATAAATTCAGACTAGGGCAACAAAGGCTTTTCTTTTAACAAACAAATTTTTAAAAAGTCAGCATAGTGGCACACAGAAGTTCATGAGCCAACCACAAGTTCCATCCCAGGAATAGCCTCCTGATATCTCAGGACTTGGGCAAGGTAACTGAAATGGAGGACAGGGTCTTTAAACCAACAATCCAACCAGATGTTCTGGAATTAGGTCACAACAAGGGACAATGTAGACTGCCTGTGTGCCAAACAACTGTTATAAGCCATTCCCAACATTCCTGACTAGATGCAGCATTCTGGTGATTCTGGGTTTACATCGACGGTACTCTGTGATCACCAGGTCAAGAAAGTCCTATGTGTCTGAAGATCATGGTGTCCTATAAACCTGGAACTACTTCAAGACAAACAAGAGTTCTCACCAGCCCAAAGAAAACACTTGTATCAAAAGAGCTGGTAAAGAGCTTGGGGAGACGGGGTGGGGAGGGGGGTAGTTATGGCTCAAGTTGTAGAATGCCTGCCTAGCAAGCACAAGGCACTGAGTTCAAACCTCTGTACTGGGGGGAAAAAAAAAGCAAGTGAGTAAAACATGGGCAGGTAGGCCCTTGCCAGATAAGGTTACTGCTTGACAGCACAGCCACACAAAGACAGAATGAGAAAACGGAACTCTACTTAAGGTTGCAAAGACAGTACTTTTTCATTGAGAACTGGTGTAGGAGTAAGAAAATTGGCAATTGGCTAGTTGCTTCTGGTGGCTTAGAGAAATAGGCAACTTCTGTTCCAGAGAGGGCAGGGCTGTGGTGCTGCAATTCAGCTGAACTGGTAGAGAGCAGAGCCTCCAATGCACCTCACTCAGCAAGGGCCAAATTTGTAGACTGCAGCCGCTCAGTCTCCTGGCAGATGTTCTGCTCCACTGTGTCACACTCAGATAGGAATGCCTAAAAGACAGACATGGGTCAGTGAGGGTCCTCCCTCAGCGAACCAACCATTGTCAACACAAGGATCTTTGCTTAACCATTCTGGGAAACCTGTGGGAAAGACAGGCTGAGCATGGATGGAAATAGGCACCTAGTCTGGGCTCCAAGATAAGGGAAGCAAGGGAGAAGGAAGCATGGAACCAGTTTTGGACCATGCCCTAGACCAACAACTCCCTTAAAAGGTGGTACAGATAGGGAGCCTTGCTTCAGGGCCAAGGCACTGCAACTGCACAGCTGAAGGGGACACTGCACACATTAACCATGCCTCCTGGAATTGTGTGATATGCTGGCTCTATCTGCTGTCCAGTGAGCATCTTACCCTAACAGATTAAATTCAAATACACTAGATACATGAAGAGGGTCTTTTCTGATGTTCTGGTTTACGCTGATAAGCAATAACTAAAAACAGTTCATGCTAATTACCACATTTCTACATTATCCTACTTTGAACAGATAAACACACACACAAACACATTACAGTTTGTCATGCACTGCAACACAACTCACCTGAACCTTTTTCACCAAGCCTTTTCTTTTTAACCTACTGTCCTTGAAATTTTCTGGTAGGATCTATGGAAGAAAAAGTTGACACATAAACCATCTTCAGTGACAAAGACATGAGACACTTTGGAAACACATACAATAACATGAAACAGGTCATAGGTCACAATTATAACTAAATTATGCATTTTCAGGCATTATTTCTCCAAATTTGTATTTTACATGGACCTTTCCACAGCTCTCATTCCTACAAAAGCACTTTTGCTCTCAACATCTGGACCATAAAAACTGATCTGTAACATAGACTTCATTCATTTTTTTTTTTGGCAGTACTGGGGTTTGAACTCAGGGCCTTGTGCTTGATGGGTAGACACTCTACCACCTAAGCCATATCCCCAGGCCCTCAGACTTTGTTCTTTTGCTGTTTCCTAGGTATGGATACTATGTCCTCGCCAGATCATGAGCTTACTGTGCCAGAAAAAGTACCTTTTACTCTTCTTTTACAACACCCTCTCCCCCATAGAATTCCAAATCCAGGGTAGTTCACCCTCAAGAATGAAGCATCAGGCTAGAGATACCATTAACTGTTATCTGTAAAAAATAACCTGGGGTCTATGATTCAATAGGCCACAAGATCCTGTTGTGCTTGAATTCTGTATAGGAAACGAGCTCAGTGGAATACCAGTTACCTGCATATTAGGGAAAATAAAGTCCTGTGTTTCTTTGACCGTGAGATCATGGAACACTTGAGTCCCACTTTCACGACTGCAGAAGCTCTTAGCATACATATACATATATACATATATATATGTATGTGGTAGAAGCCCTATATTGGTGGACTATGTCTTGCTATCTGTGTATTCACCCAGGACCTAGCACAGTGTCTGGCACACAGCAGTAGATGCTCAATATCCTCAAGTGATGAGTTTGCTCAGGCAACAGGAATGCATTACTGAAAGTAACTACTGAAGAATTCATAGAAAACTAGTTCTGAACTGCATATTTACTTACCATTGTGTCAATCTCCTCTAAGATCTTCATAAACTGCTCAATTGTACCCTTCACTCTCCTATCAAGTTTGCAGAGAGCTTCAGCTTGCAACTCCTTAGCCAGAAAACCCTGTGGGAAAATAACGCATTATTGTAAGGATTCCTTGAGGTGGAAGGAAAACTCCACACCACAGTACTGGTAAAGTGACCATACCCTGAGTTCACCATTTCCCTAAGAGACCAGACTACAACTCAGACCTACAACTTCATCTCTTGGAAAAAGAATCCCATCAAAATCAAGCTCAATTCAGACCTTCTACAAATCAACAAAAAGTCCTTTGCTGGGCTGGGGTTGCATCTCAGTGGTACAGCATTTGCCTACCATGCACAGGCCCAAGGTTTAATTCCTAGCACTGCAAAAAAAAAAAGTTATTTGCCTTTCTAAACATAATATGACACCTGTACTATGAAAAGCCACTTGTTTTATTTCAAATACATGATCCTAACGTGGCAGGTGTTGCTCTCCAATGAACAGGAACAACAAAAAAAATGCTGGCTGGAGTTTGACATAACAATGACACTAACATTAGAAAGCACTTTTAATGCTCACAACAGTCCTAAGAGGGGCAATTATTCCTTTTTACAGATGAGGAACTTGAGACAAAGATAAACTTGCCCAGAGTAAGACAAAGGGTAAGGGCTTGGGGATATAGCACAGTGGTAGAGTGCTTGCAGTGATAGACAGCATAGCATGCATAAGGCCCTAGGTTCTAGCCCCAGCATTGAATTAAAAAAAGAGAGGACTGGCAGAGTGACTCAAGTAGTAGTGTGCCTGGCTAACAAGTGCAAGGCCTTGAGTTCAACCCCCATACTGCCAAAAAGAAAGAAAGAAAAGCTGGGCACAGGTAATCCTAGCTACTCAGGAGACAGAGCTTAGGAAGATTGCAGTTCAAAGCCAGCCTGCGGAAAACAGTTTGGAAAACCTATCTCAAAAGTAATCAACATATAAAAAGGCTGGTGGAGTGGCTTAAATGGTACAGCACCTGCCCAGCAATCGTGAGGCCCTGAGTACAAACTCCAGTAACACCAAAAAACAAACAAACAAACAAAACAAAGAGAGACAGACAGACAGAAAGAAAGGGTGGAGCCAGGATCTGAATGCAGGGAGTCTGACTATAGAGCCTGCCCTTGTAACCATATAAGACATCCACAATGTCCTTACAGAAGTAGAAAGTCAAAGTCTATGAAGGAAGTTACCTGCTGGATTCCAGTAAGTTCTTTAGTCAGTTCTTCTAGGTGGTCAGCAACCTTCTTCACAGACTTCTCCAAATCTTTCAGCTTCTTTAGTTCAACCTCTTCCTCTGGATTGTTCTAAAATTAAATTAGTAATCATTGGTCCTCTGTTGGGAATAAATCTGACCATGATTGTGCTAAACCACTTACCTGAAAAGAATGAACTTAACTCTGCTGCTTCTTAGAAAGCAAGTCAAAGGGTTATACATAAGGTTTTCCAGCTGGCTCACACCTGTAGCTACTTGGAAGGTAGAGATCAAGAGGATTATAGTTCAAGGCCAGCCAGAGCAAAAAATTCTTGAGGCCCCATCTCAACCAATAACTAAGCATGGCAGTGTACACCTGTCATCTCAGCTATGTGGAAAACATAAAGAGGATCGTGGCCTCAGCCAGCCCAGGTATAAACACCAGATCCTATGTTAAAACCAAAGCAAAATGGGCTAGGGGTATGGCTCAATTGATAGAATGATTGCCTAGCAAGCAGAAGGCCCTGGGTAGAAAACCCCAGTACTGCCAAAAAATCCCCCAAAACAACAACAAAACCTCATTTTCTAGCTACAAAGACTCTAGTCCAGAGAGAAGAAAACTGTTAGGAAGTAAACATAGTAAGGGTCCTGACAGCTTGGGTTCAGAGAATGGAGTCAATCCAACCTCAGCTCTAAGCTAATCAACAGCCAGATTCAAGACTGGAGGCCAAATAATCATAGCATCTTTGAGGAGTCCAGAATGGCAAGAAAGACAGAATTCAACTACTCCTATGTGGGTTTTCTGTTGTTGTTCTGAGACAGTCTTGCTATGTAGCCCAGTTGGCTCTGATTGAACTCTAGCTCCTTCCACCTCAGTCTCAGTTGAGATTAAATATTATTCCTTTAAATGGAATTCCTAAATGTTGAACTCTCCTATTTAATGATAGTGACAATGATGAACATTTTTATTGGACATTCCATACAAGCCTGGCATTATCCTAAGCATGTTACCTGTATTGTTTTTTAGCCTTAACCTAGAAGGGAGGGACTGTTTTACAGATGATGAAGCTGAGTAGTAAAGTAACCTAAGGTCACACAGCCCAAAGGAGGTGGAACAAACCAGATTTCAAATTTGGCTTACATACTCTGGGACAGTTTCTTATTGTTGTTTTGTTTTGGTGGTGCTGGGGTTTGAACTCAGGGCCTCATGCCCTCTAGGTGGGAATTCTATCACTTGAGTCAAACCCTTAACCCAAGAAATTTAGAATATTCTTTCTCTTACCTAAACAAGTAGCCAGGGCCAGAAGCTTCCTGCTTTGTTATACTATCCCCAATTGTTCATTCTTGAACAATTGTGGCCCAACCCTGAGCCCAGTCTCCTGGGAGTTCCAAGTTAGAACAAGTTAGACTTTGTTTGCCTCCACTTTGCTAATCTCTGCCCTTTCTCTACTTTGCCACCTCGAAGTAATGAAACTTCATACACTCAATAATTCCACCATGTCACAATGCAGGGCTGACCACAGCCCTCTCTCATCACCTCAGAGGCCACTGCCTTCACATGTCACCAACTGCCTCTTCCAGTCAGAGGGTTTTCCTGTTGTGGGAGATTTTAGTAAGAAAAAAGAAAAGGTAGTTAAAGGGAGACAGGTTCCTGGTACAGAGTTCTCATTTTTAATATCTATAGATTTATTTTAACAAAAAGTTGTCTTGTAAATTCCACTCCAAGTAAGGCCCATTCTAGGTACCATTTTATTCAGACTGAGAGTCTACCAACAAGTCAAAAGCCTTGTTACTGAAAAAGCACAACAGCTCCAAATTCACACCCTACAGCAAAAACTCACACCCTAAATCAACAGGAGAAATAAGGTACAAAGGACAACAAAACTGGTAAAACTGGTAATCCCATCAAACAGACTATTTGTTTAAAGAGGTGTGTTACCAATGAACAATCTGGGTTCTCAATTTGGTCTTCTAACTTCTAAATAGAAACACATATAAAAGACTTTAGTCATTTGATTCTGAGGAATTCTGGTGGAAAAAGCAATTTACCTTTTCCCCAATTAACATAAGCCGGCAACCATTTTGTATTCCAAGTGCTGACAAAGGCGTCTCCATTTCCTTCAGAGATTTTCCTGAAAAGAGAAGGTATGCCAAGTTTAAAACAGATTTCACAGGCAGGAAGATCATGAGGCCAGCCTGGGTTACAAAGTGAGACCCTGTCTCAAAACAACAAAAAAAGAAAATAGCTTGACAAAGATACAAGTGTGTTCACAAATGAGAAGAGGAGGAAAAAATGGTATAACTTTTTTTAGTGGATGTCTTGATCCAGTAATTTCACTCCCAGATATTTATCTTAAATAACTGAAAATGTACATAAACAATAACTACTATATAATAATATTCAAGAATAGGGGACTGATTAATATAATTTATATGGTACACATATTTCTGGACAGTAGATAATTTTATAGGCATAAAAGCTCATGTTTTTTCAGGATACTTCAATGTCATAATGAATGTTGATAAGCCAATGTTATAAGAAAAAAATGTTATAAGGGTTGGGGATGTAGCTCAATGCTAAGAGTACTTGCTAATGTGTTCAATCCCCAGCACTACCACCAATAAATAAATAAGTTAAAAGTTATAAGGGGTTTTAATCCAAGGGAACATTTTCCACTTTCTTCTTTTTGCTTTCTCCTATTTTGAAACATAAATTTATTTGTTTATTTATTTATTTATTTGACAGGGTTTCAGTATGTTGTTCAATTTGGTGTGGAAATCAAGATTTCCTGCCTCAGCCTCTGGAATGCTGGGATTGACATGTACTACCACCACCACGCCCAGCCTTGAAACATTAATTTCTACTGTCTTTAGAATTCAAAAGTAAAATGTTTTTAAAAAGATGAGTTGTACTGTAATATAAATACAAATAAAAATGCTTCCTATTACTAAATTCTTTATAATGACTGGCACCCTATGAGATAAATCTGCCCCTAACAGGTAAGAATAATGGGTTCCTATGGGAATGAGAAGTCAGAGGACAGGCATGGGGAGGAGGTGGGTCCCAGCAGAAATCAGCATCATCCATTGGACCTTTGATATCCAGGCCCCTATTATGTTTGTTTAAAATCTCTCTAAGTCGGAACAATGTCAAGCGCTGGCAACAGCAGAATCTCTGTTTTCACGGAGTTTGTTATCCTCACAGAGAAACCAGATATTAAGCAACTAAGAAAACTATCATTTAATAGTCATTTCAACACACATTATGCAGAAGCAGTGAGGGAGAGCATACAATGGGGGAGGGTCTAACCTAACCAGGGAGTGTTAGCCATGTGCTTCCAAAAATGGTAAGATCTGTACCATCATGTCACTTCAAAGCTGTTACTGTCCAAATGTCTGAAAAGTCCAGTACATAGAAGGTCCTTAATACATATTTGTTGAAGGAATGAATGAATAAACAAAAGTTCCAGTTTGAAAACTGAGTTACCATTATGTAGGATTAAGCAGTTTTAAATCTGTCCTTTAGCCATAAGGAATCAAAGCTGAAAGAGAAATGTCTACCCTTAAATATGAGCTTCTGAAAAGGCAGTGGAACCCCTGTGGCTTCTTCAACAACCTGGGCCAGGTCTTGGACAATTGGTTCACTGCTGCCCTCCTGTGGGGTAACATGAAGGTCGTGCTTCTCATTGCCTGGGGAGAGAAAGCAAAACAGCTGATGATATGACTCTTTCACATAAACCAGTATTACATTTATTTTACTCAGCCTTCAAGGCACAGCTCATATGCTACCTACTCCAAAGTGCTTGCCCCCATCTGCCCAGCTTTCCTTTGGTGACCTGCTTAAGGATTTTTGTTTCCTCTAATATAAGAACTATTTCAATGATAGCTAACGTTTCAAACACTTATGCATAAAGGACTCTACTAGACTCATTTCATGCATTATTTTATTTAATTCTCAGAACCATGAAGCAAATCAACCTATTATTCTGTTTCATTAATAAGCAAGCAGTAGAGTTCAATCTAATTAACACATGTGTATGGGTCTAGTGGTATGGATCAAGTGGGCTCTGAGTTCAAACCCCAGTTCCACCCCCCACCCCCAAAAAAGACTTGTTTATGGAGACTGGACTGGGAGAGTCAGAATTTGACATTAGTGGCTGGTGGAGTGGTTCAAGTGGTAGAGCACCTGTCTAGCAAGCGTAAGATCCTGAGTTCAAACCCCAGTACCGACAAAAAAATAAAATAAAATTTGACCTTAGATCTCCCTGGTTCCAAAGCTCATATTTGTCTTCTGTGGCCTGACTGCCTTGTACCCTGCATTGTATTGGTCTTGTCTCCTTTGCTGTAATGGGTAAGGGACCTTTTCCTCCAAGACTGCCCACTGGGCACACCTAGGAACACCATAGCTGGTGTTTAGTAAAGACTAAGGAATGAACACTTTTCTGGAAGCACAGGTGTCATTCTTTTAGAGATAGGTGACCAAACCTTGAGCTCTCCAATAGCTCCATGAAGTCAGTGGGGAAGGGGTTATCAACTCTACTTCACAGACAACCAGATGCCTACAAAGGAGATATCGACCTCAAGGTCACTCAAAACTTCGATATAGAATCCTGGTTTCCAGATTCCAAGGCACTCGGGTCTCTCCTAGCTGGTTCTGAGGAAGCCTCATGGACTCAGCTTTCCAGGGTACTTTGTTAGTTCTGGAGCACCTCTAACAGGTGTCTATAGTGGAACGCTTGGACCCACGGCCCAACGGATATGCAGCACCCAACGCTGAGAAGGCAGTCAAATAATGAACAGCCCCGCCAAGCATGAAGTTCACATTCATCACACACGTAGGTGTCCAGGCACACAACAGTCGTGCCAAACACGACCCTGACACAAAGACCCACCGTAACTGCTAGGCCCATGATGTTCGGATACGCTGCTAAACCGAGGATCCAACAACTGGCCAGAGCCGAAATACACCGGCCACACGGAAAGGCGTGCTGACACCAGCCCAAGACAAAAACCCGCCAGCCCCACGGACACAGCCAAGAACCCATGCTTCCGGTCTCCCAGGCCAAACAAGGTCACACGCTTCCGGAGGCAAGTGGTCAAACACACAGATCCCGCCGGACCTTGAGTGTCCCGCATCGAGCCCACCCGCCGCTCACTGTGGGTGACGGTCACGCTGAGCCCGGCTGCCGCCATTTCCTCGGCCTGGATCACCTCCTCCGTCTGGGTCACCTCCTCGATCTGGGTCACCAGCTCGGTCTGGGTCTCCTCCTCGGTCTGGGTCACCTCCTCGGCCCAAGCCACCTCCTCCGCCCTGGTCACGTCCTTGTCCCGGGTCGCCTCCTCGGCCTCGATCACCTCCTTGGCCTTGGTCACCTCCTTGGCCTTGGTCACCTCCTCGGCTTTGGTCACCTCCTTGCGCCGGGTCACTTCCTCGGCCTCGGTCACCTCCTTGTGCCGAGTCGCCTCCTTGCGCTGGGTCACCTTCTCGCTCCGGGTCGAGCGGGGACGGACTTTCTTCTTCACCCGCGGCTTGCAAGCGCCGGTGGCGGCGCCTCTGGTGGATCGGTCATATCCGCTGGCTGTACTCCGCAGAGATGAACGCTGAGAGGGAGGCGGGCCGCGCTCGGCTGGGCGCTCCGACTGGCGCAGCTCCCGGCTGAGCCGAGGTGCGCGCCGCCGGGGACCCAGCCGCTCCCGGTCCCCTCGCGGCCTTCGCGCGCCACCGCGCTCCGCCAGGCCCGCGCTTGTTGACCGCCCAGCGGTGGTAGCTGAGCGCGGCGTCTAGCAATCCCACCGGGTACTTCCTGGCCCCGCCCAGGCGCTCTGGCCACGCCCTCAGAGTTGCCCTCGCCCCTGCCCCGCCCATTCCGCCAAAGCCGCATCCAGGCCCTACCCACTCAACCACGGCCCCGCCTCATTCATCTGAACCCCCTCCCCCTCCACCAAGACCCCACCTCCATCAGTCCTCGTTCCCGTCCCTCCCCATGGTCCGTGCTACTTCCCCGGAAGGCGGAGCTGAAAACCCGGATAAAGGATCGGGAACTGTCAGGGAGCACACTGCGCTTGCGCTTGGAAGGGCCGGAAGTCGGAGAGGGAGTGACCCAGCTTCCGTTTCTGATTTTCCGCCAGTGTTGGGTATCTTCGCAGTCGACCAAGATGAACCGATTCTTCGGGAAAGCGAAGCCCAAGGCTCCGCCGCCCAGCCTGACTGACTGCATCGGCACGGTAGGCACTTAACCATGCATAACTAGATTCAAAGCCTTTGACATTCCCGACCCCGCCCACCGCTAGTCCCCGTCTCAACCCCTTCACCCTGTTCCCTATCCCAGGCCCACAAACTAGGGACCTCCTTAACCTCATCACTACCTCGCCTTATCAGCACTCAGTCCGTCCACTCGCTCTCGCCCTTGGACCTGCACTGGGCCCATACGCCCTTCCCACCTCGTCTAGCCCGGCCTTTCACCCTTTTCCATCTCTCCTCCTTCGCCATGTCAGGACTTTTTTCTGTGATACACTAGAACACATCTGTAGCTCAGTCCTGGATCTCAGTAACAAAATTCAAACCTTGGTTCCTCGGATTAAGTCATCGTCCCCGATCCAGGGAAGACCAATTAGATTAGTCTTAATCGGTGTCCACTAAGCACAGGCTCATTTCACGTGCTTCCTTGTTGAGTCCTCAGCCTGACTAGTCACCGATTTAAGGGAAATCTGTCGGATCAGGGATTCTTAAATATTTTTTCTACCCCAACTTGAGGAAGACCTGATAGATCAGAATCTGGAAGTTGGAATATAGTTTTTAAAAAGTGCTCAGCATTTCTGACCAGGTCAGAAACCACTATTTTCCACCTTTCATCATTTGCTTCCCTTTGTTTTTCGTTCCTTCCTCCCCTCCTGCCTCTTCTCATTTGAGTATACTGCAATAACCAATCACTGTATTTGATATTTCCCCCCAAGGTGGATAGCAGGGCAGAATCCATTGACAAAAAGATTTCCCGATTGGATGCTGAGCTAGTGAAGTATAAGGATCAGATCAAGAAGATGAGAGAGGGTCCTGCCAAGGTAAGGTAGGAGCAACTGCTGCAGAAAGTACTGCGACAGCCTAATTTGAGCACCTATGAAATAAAGCCTGGTGGTAGGGACTGGTGAAGGATACACAAGAGATGCTCAGTTTGGTAAAGAGGATATGTCCTTTGGAGAGGAGACTTGACAGCTAGATAGGAGGGAGGGACTGGGGTTTGATCTAATGGAGAGAGGATGCTAATCACATGTGCAGAAGGTGCACTCTGGAGAGGTGGGCTGGGTCATGGTCAGGATTGATGAGTTGCCAGGCTGGTCAAGTTAGATAGGTATAATAGAGTGGTTTCCTGCTAGGAAAAAGTACTGAATTAGGCATGAAGGGCCAATGTTCTAAAACTAGTATTTACTAACTAGTATTACTACTTACTAGCTGTGACCTTGATAAAGTCACTTTATTTTCCACTTCTATTAGGTAGGAACATAAAATAATGTGTTTAGGCACATAGACTATGGATATAGAGCTATCTTGTTTTTTCCAACTCCATAGTTTAGTAACCACTGTGAGCCAGGATATCAGTGAACCTTGATTTTTCCATTGGTAAAGTGAGGATAATACATGTTTTATAGTGTGAGGATTAAATGAGGTAATTTATTTGACCTACATAGCATTATGTCTAGAACATAGTAGTATTTAATAAGTGTTAGTTATCATTGTCTGTGAGGTAATATCTGCTTTCCCTCCCTTATTGTAGGAAACAAATAAAATGATAGATGGACCAGTGTAGAAAGGGAAGAATTTTTCTAATCACCTTAGTTGATGGTGTAGCATGAAGAACAGAGGCAGGAAAGCCCATCTAGATTTGAGGAGATGAAAGCCCACACCATGATTTTGGTCATGAGACCAGAGAAGTGAGGTTGGTGGGGCCACTGTTAATTGTTTCCAAGCTGAGAAATGATGGGGGAGTTTGGGCATGTTATGTTTGAATTGATACCAGGATGTCCAAGTGGAGACTCTCCCTAAAGCAATGGGATATATAAAATGGGCACTGTTGGCACTGGAAGTGGAGATTATATGCATTAGATACAAGGAGAGTAGTTCAGAACTGAGATGTGGTATGGGAAGACAGACAGGACTAGACATTAGAGGTGTCTGTGCTTGGGAAGGGAAGAACAGAATCCAGGAGCCACTGTCTCCTCCCTTGAAGAAGAGAGTAACTATGCATGTTAGTTTGAGGATATGGGAGATTTCTCTTACCATATGTATGTTTTTCACTTTCTTTTTATTAAATCTGTTTTTCTCAGAATATGGTCAAGCAGAAAGCCCTGCGGGTTTTAAAGCAAAAGCGGATGTAAGTTATGTGCATAATCTCCTTCTTCTGGCATTTTTAACGAAAAAGGAAATAGTCTTCCAGCCTACCAGGTTTTTATTACCATTTTCTAGATATTCTTGATTTAATTACAAAATTTCAAAGTTCTAATTATTTTGTTTAATTTTGACAATTTAAGTTTAAGTAGCCACAAGTATCTAGTTAACTACTATTTTGGACTGGCCAGTCTATTTAGTATAGTAGACCCTTCGTATTCAGGAGTAAACGGTGCCAAGGAGACTACCATTGAAGAAAAACTGCACTATGTATAGAGTTCAGTACTCTAAAATTTCTCCAGTTTACCTATACTGTACATACAGTAGATCTGAGCATCCGTAACTCAAAACTGCATGGAGTAAGCCACATTACTGTCAAACCTACTGTCATACACATTGATACTGTTCACCAAACACTGGATCTTACGTTCTTTTTCTCTAGTACTGTGGGTGCTTGACTCATTTTTCCCATAATGCTGCCCAACTTCATTAGAGACAAATGTAGAATTTTTACTTTATCACTTAAATTAAGCACATTAACTTTTACCTTGTTTTTTAAGCACAGTTTGCTTTTTGAGAGGCATATCTTCACAAAATTAAGGACAAGGAAATAACAGATCATACAGCTGTTTAAACACAGCTTACCATAACGTAAGGCTAACTGTCTTTCCCCATGTTAATGCATGTGTGGGAACTTAAGATTTTTGTTTTTGAAATGTCTTTTAACTTTATTTTTGACTTTTCTTATTCAGATCTGCAAGTAAAGTGGGCTTACTGTATTCTCTTTTTGATCTTGTTTGTTTATAAAGTTAGGAATGCTAAATATTTGTTTTATCTCATCCGAATAGATTTTTTATTTTTGTAGTACTGGAGATTGAACCTAGGACTCTACCACTTGAACTATATACCTAGTCCTTTTGTTTTTACTTATTTTTTTTAAGACAGGGTCTCTCTATCTTTGCCCAGGCTGGCTTCAAACTTAAGATCCTCTGTCTCTGCTTCCTGAGTAGCTGGGATGGATTACAGGCATGCACCACCACACCAGCTTTATTCTAATTTTAAAATGACTTTTTATAATAATCAGATGCTATCTTCCTTTTTTTTTTTTTTCTTAGATTAGATTACACTGGAAAGTGCCTAGCATGATCAGGGTGTGATAAAACTCTTCTTAACCAGTAGCATTGGAAGTTTTTTGTTGTCATTGGATTTTTTTTTTTTTTTAATAAGTGTCTTTTTTTGGCAGTACTGGAAGTTGAACTCAGGGCTTCGCAGAGTGCTTGCTAGGCAGGCACTCTACTAATTGAGACATGCCTCCAGTCCTGTTGTTACTGTTTTGAGATAGGGTTTTGCTATGTAGCCTAGGCTGGGCTCGAATTCTTTATGGTCTCAGCCTCCTCTGAGTGCTCGGATTATAAACTTAAAACACTTTTCCCCCTTAGTGCTAGGTATTAAACCTAGAGCCTTATGAATACTAGGCAAGCACTCTACCACTGAGCCACACCCCCAGCCCAGTATTGCAATTTTTAAGTACTTTTGTAAGTAAAGAAATAATAGATTCATTAGAGAAACTTTGAAAATACATAAACATGAGCAGAAGAAAAAGACATTTACCTACATTCTTGCTACTAGAAATAACTACCTTTAAAGTGCTAAATTCTAGCCAGATGCCAATAGTTTACACCTATAATCCTAGCTACTTGGGAGGCTGAGATCAGGAAGATTGAGGTTTGAGGCCAACCAGGGCAAATAGTTCAAAAGACCCCATTTCAAAATAACCAGAGCAAAATGGGCTGGAGGTGTGGCTCAAGAGGTAGAACACCTGCTTTGCAAACTGGAATCCCTGAGTTCAGACTCCAGTCCCATCAAAAAAAAAAAAGGCTAAAATTTTAGCCAGACATTATGGTACATGCCTATAATCCCAGCACTAGGGAGAATGAGGCAAGAGCCCAGCCTGCAGGCATCTCCCCTGCAAAAAGAAACTATTTTTTCCATTTTTCTTCTCTGCTTGTGTATGCATAGTGTATGTATACTATTATTATTTTTTAGAATAAAGCAAATTATAATGTATCTGTATAAATTATCCTTTTCTGCTTAATTTTATCATGAGCATGATCTTTTAAATATTCTATGGAAACGTCCTTTTTAATGGAATCATCTTCCATTTGGCTGCATTATTTTCTTTCTGACAGATGGTTTCCAAATATTGAATAAAGACCATAGGAACATAAGTCTTTGACATAGTGGTATACTTTAATATACGACTTGACTTTAAAGAACATATTTTGAGCAGTAGATATTATATTAAGTCAAGATAGATAGCCTAATTATGAGTATAAAATTAATAAATCAGTATACTGGGTAAAATATTTAGTTATATGTCCAAAGCTATATGTACATGGCTATATGTAATCTTACCAGCCAGGTGTGGTGGCTTATGCCTGTAGTCCCAGCTACTTAGCAAGTGGAGGCAGGAGGATCAAGGGTAGCACAGGCAAAGTTGAGAGGACTATCTCAAAAACAAAATCAAAACAAAAAGGCTGAGGGCATGGCTCAAGTGATACAGCTCTTTCCTTGAACTAGGGCCTCTCACTTTTTTAACAAGCACTGTACCACTTGAGCCATGCCCCCAGCCCAATAGTGATAAAGACATGTTGAGATATATAGCCAGGCTACACTCATGCAGGCAGATCATGAATTAGAGGCCAACCTAGGTTACCTCTAGCCTGGGCAACACTGCAAGACATTATTGCAAAAAACCCAAACATAATAGTATAACTCAGATAACATGCAAAGGAAAAAGGCTGGAGGGACTGTATTAAAGTGGTTAATTTTTAAAGTATTTTGGCTTTTTTTAAAGAAAATTACCTAACTTACTGTTAGGGATACTTTCTTCCAGTGGATTTCTATCTGGCTCACGTTATTCTCACTTGACTAAAAAGGTATGAGCAGCAACGGGACAACCTTGCCCAGCAGTCCTTTAACATGGAGCAAGCCAACTATACCATCCAGTCATTGAAGGACACCAAGACCACGGTACTCCCAAAGCACCTTTCCCATTTTTATTTTTTTACTTTCATACTTTTTGCCATGTTTTTTTTATTAGTTAATTTTTTGTTGTTTTGTTTTGTTTTTTGATAGTACTGGGGTTTGAACTCATGCTTGCTAGGCAAGGCACTCTACCACTTGAGCTACTCTGCCAGCCCTTAACCAACATGACTTTTTAAGACATTGTGTTTTCTACTTTTCTTTAGGTTGATGCAATGAAATTGGGAGTAAAGGAAATGAAGAAGGCATACAAGCAAGTGAAAATCGACCAGATTGAGGTGAGATGTGTGCAAATTTCTGCAAGAATGTGCACAGGTTTCTGAAAGGATCCAAATGAATGTGCACATGATGGGAAGAGCACAGTACCATTTACTAATGAGTAACTTAGGGAAGGGATACCAAAGGTTACCAAAGGTATCAATTTCCTCATTGTTGCATACCCGTGTAGTTATTATGTAGATGAAATAAATGAGCTAGTGTATCTGTACTCAATGCCTGGCACATAATAAGCACATGACAGTTACTTCTAACTCACTTAATAAGTATTAGTCTGTTTCCTCAATTGTAAAGTAGTGACATTGCTGTTTATCTCCCAGTTTCATCACAAATGTTAAATGAGGATACATATGTAAAGTGCTTAACAGAATTTCTGGAGTAGAGTTGGATCTTTTCCTACTAATTTACTAATTCTCTTTATACCTTAATAGTAAGTCATTAGTTCCTTAACGTTAGCATTTCTTTTGGGGATTAGGTTTTGGCCAGGGAGGTGAGCCTTACGAGCCTGGCTTTTCTCAGTTGTCAGGTGAACAGCCCAGATGGCAATCAGTGATGGGGGGTGGGGCGGCGAGTGGTGATCTGCCATAGGAAACAGCCTTCCTTTTTGCGTGTATAGTAGTGCTCTTTTCCTCTACCCTCTGACTTGAATGTCTCTTTCCTAGAGGGAAGGGACTTGATTTTGTTCACTGTTTATCCCCACTGCCTAAAACAATGCCTGGCCATAGTTGGTGCCCAGAAAGTTTTTGATGGTGGATGAATATGTGACTAAGAAACTGTTAAAGTTATACAACCCCATTCACAAGTGAGCAATTACTGTGTCCCAGGCATTTTACTGCCTACCACAGAAGTATTCTCTGGGAGTGCCAATCTCTAGTGGGAGTGAAGGGCATTCCTCCCATTACCTCTTTCCGTTACCCTCCTTAGACTGCCCATGAGCATTTCTTGTCGTCTGTAAGTCTCTGCTTGTATGGAGTCAAGCTTCATATTATCTTTTAGGAAATTCACTGAGAAAAATGTTAATGTATATTTGTCTTATTAGCATAATGCCATTTGGCAATAAAATTTGAGATGTAGTACACACCTGTAATCCTAGCACTCAGGAGGCTGAGGCAGCAGTACCACAAGTTTGAGGCCAACCTGGGCTATGTAGTAAGTTCCAGGCCAGCCTGGGCTACGTACATAGTGAAATCCTGTCTCCAAAAGAAAAAATAGTGATTGTTTAGTTTTAAGGCATCTTGTGATTTTTTGTTTGTTTTTTGGTCCCTCCTGCCCCTGTACTGGGGTTTGAATTCAGGGCCTTGTGCTCACTAGGCAGGTGCTCTACCACTTGAGCCACACCCCAGCTAGGGCTCCTTGTGTTTGAATTATAGCTATTTAATATGAGCAAAAGAGAAAATTTAGTCGTTCTAGTTGTTTTGTGTGTGCCTCCATCTTTCATCTGTGGTTGTCTGTCTCCCTTCTTTTTTGGGAGGATGGCAGGGTTGAACTCAGGGCCTCCTGCTTGATAGGCAGCTACTCTACCACTTGAGCCACGTCCCCCCGCCCTATCTCCTCTCTTAAATGTCCCTTTTTTGTCCCCTAATTGATTGCCAGCCTGATAGGTGGAAAGTTTTTTTAACTCCTTAGGCCAGGCTATTTTAATTTGTTTTGGTAGAATTATTTTCCTAAAATACTCATAAAACATTTTCGTTGGTTTGCAGCTCTTAATTTTTTAAATTTTGCCTTTGTGAATGTGTGTATAGCTATGTTTTTATCCTTTTTATTTTTAAATTTCTGTGTATTAGTACATCAATGTTCTTTTTAACTTAGTGCTTATATGTATTTGTGTTGCTGTTGTATGTTTATACAGTATTAATTTATATCAACTTAAAGACAGATTAATCTGATAATTCTTTGTGTGATGGTGATTTTTTGAGACAGGGCCTTGTTATATTGTCCAGGCTGGCCTCAAACTCTTGTGATTGTCTTGCCTTCACCTCTCAAATGCTAAGATTGCAGTTGTATGCCACCATACCTGGCTGCAAAGCTTTTACTTTACTTTTTTTTTCCCTCCATTTTACTTTCTGCCCTTTCTACTTTTATGTGGAAAAACACACCAGGAAGCTAGGAAGGAATTTTCAAATGTCTTGCATTGCTCTAAAAAATCCTGACGGAAAAATGGTGCTAATTTGGATCTTACACATTATCAACACCAATTAGTTTTGCTCTGTGTAGAATGCACATCTGCATATCCTTAGCACAATAGTAAATATATAATAGAGTGCTTAGTATTTCATAATAATTGCACTAAATCTTTATAGTGCCCCTATGAGATGGCTCTCAATAATCCCATTTTATAAATGGCCTTGGAGACATTACTTCTCATTAAGGAGTCCAAAATTTGGACTGGAGCAGTAGCTCAGTGTTGTGTGTGCATCACATGCACAATACCATGGGTTTAATTCCTAGCACCAAAAACAAAGACATTCAAGAATTACGGAATTATTCAAGCCTTTAGAGAAGTAGCTACTCAGTTGTTTGCTAAAACTAGTCACTAGCCAAGGACAGGTCACTGAGGTAAACTAACAGTTGTTGAGAACTGATTATATGCTTTGCATTTTATGTACATTATTATTTTTTAAATTGCTCATCTCTAAGGTTCAAAGGAGAATGTTGGGGAAGAGGGTAGTTAGAAGAAAATGGTTAAAAATAAAGGAAACCCTTTCTTACATACGTCATATGTGAAAATATATCCTGTATTTCTGTAGGATTTACAAGACCAGCTAGAGGATATGATGGAAGATGCAAATGAAATCCAAGAAGCACTGAGTCGAAGTTACGGCACCCCAGAATTAGATGAAGATGACCTAGAAGCAGGTAAGTTCTGAGAAAAGCAATGTATTATGCATAATTAGTTCTTGAGTCTGAAAGAAACAACTGCCTTTTCCCAAATGCTTGTGAAATTTCCTATCAGGATTACCTGATTGTTAATTTATGGTACAATCTCTGGGCAAAGAGCCTGTGAGGCAGCTGTGTATCAGACTTGCACCTGCGGGACCACTGGGGCGAAAGAACTCTGTAGGAAGGTTCAAGCAAAGGCCGATCTTCTGCTTGGTATCTATAAGTGTCCTCAACTTGGCCTTTCCCTGCTATTTTCCTTTTGATTTTGTCAATACTTGGAGTCCATTCAGAATAGCAAAGCAAATTAAGAAACAGTAGTTGACACACACTCAGTATGGATCTAATACATGCTAGGCACCTAACTAGGTGCTAGGGATTCAGCATTGAAGAAAACTAATATCCCTGCATTTATGAAGCTTCTCCTCAAAGTGGGAGAAATATAAACTGCCTGCTGTAATTCTTAATTACGAGAACACACATAATAGGGAAGAAGTATGAGATATACAAACCTAGTCAGTAGTGGGGGACAAGCATGGGATCTGAAGGATGAGTAGGGATTAGCACAAAAATGTAGGAAGTATTGTTGAGTGGCCTCAGGGAGAGGAATCTAGCTATAGTCACAGTAGAGATGCTGGTGACTGAAACTATAATAGTGGTAGAAAATACAGAGAGAAATAGATTGAAGAAATTTTAGGAGGGTGAATGGATAAGACTTACTCCTTGCTTATATATGGAGATGTGTCAAAGATGTCTGTCAGTTTCTAGTATGAGTGTTTGGATAGATGATGGAACCACTCTACACTGGAGTTTTCTTTTGAATTTTTTTTTTTTTTCCTGGTAGTACTGGGGTTTGAACTCAGGGCTTCATACTTGCTACACAGGAGCCCTACCACTTGAGCCACTTCATCAGCCCTCTTTTTTTGTGTTGGGTTTTTTCAAGATAGGATCTTGTGAACTATTTGCCTGTGCTGGCTCCCACCTAGCGGAATCATCTGCCTCCCAAGTAGCTAGGATTACAAGTGTGAGCAACCAGCACCCAGCTGGATTTTTCTTTTGAATGATGCCCCTGTCAAGATACTGGTTTCTCCCTCTCCCTTCCTCTTCCTCTCCCTGTCCCCCCTTCCTCTCTCCTTCTACCTCCCACCCTCATTTTGTCTCCCTCCTATTTGTTACTGCCTTGAACCATTTTTACATATTCATTTGCTCTTTTATTTTGTTTTGAATTTCCCCTTATGAGGCTCAACCTGCTATTATCATTCCTCGCGTCTACTTCTAACTCACTTGCCATAGTTATTCATATAGCTTGATTTCATGTAATAGTTACATAATATGCAACAATCTCATGCCTCCTTTCACTGCTTTCTTTCATTCATTAATAAATGAAAGAGATGTTTTACTTTTATTATAGTCAGTTTTCTAGTTTAAACTAGCAAATTCAAACCATACTCTTCTCATCACATGTAGAACACTATAAACTTGTGAGGAATTGCTTGATTTGTTTTATTTTGCTTTTTATTTTTCATAAGATTTTATATGTCAATTTCCTTGACAATTTCTTTTTTTTTTTTTTTTTTTTTTTTTTTTTGTGGTACTGGGGTTTAACTCAGGACTTCAAGCTTTATTTGGCAGGTGCTCTATCACTTGAGCCATACCTCCAGCCCCTCTTACTTTAAAAGTAGAAATTAGTAATCTTTTTCCCTGTGTATTTAAATTTTCATCTCATTACAAATAATTTGGCTAACTTTTAAGAAAATAGAAAAAATAACAAACTAATTTGACTAACTTCTAATCATTCGTTGCCAGTTTTCTTGCTTATATTTTTTTGAAATGTTGCCTGTTTGAATTTCAGAATTGGATGCACTTGGTGATGAGCTTCTAGCTGATGAAGATAGCTCTTACTTGGATGAAGCAGCATCTGCACCTGCAATTCCAGAAGGTGTTCCCACAGACACGAAAAACAAGGTGAATGCCTTTTCTGCTTATATTTCTATGTAACGTGGTAAAAGTTTTATGCTCACCAGTCTGGGAATCCAAAGGATAGTCATTTTTAAGATAGGATCTCACTAAGTAGCCTAGGCTGACCTCAAATTAATGTTCCTGCTGCCTCAACCTCTCAAGTACTGGGATTACAGGTGTGCTCCACCATGCTAGATTTTAAAAGTTATTCTTGCATTTAGAGCAAGGAAAAGCAGTCCTGGTTATTATTTGCTCCCTTTTGTGTGTGTGGGATTGGGGTTTGAGCTCAGGGCTTCCCACTTGCAAAGCAGGCACTCTCCTGCTTGAGCCATATCTCCAGTCCATTTGGTTTGGTTATTTTGGAGATGGAGGTCTCATGAACTGTTTTGCCCAGGCTGACCTCAAATTTTGATCCTTCTAATCTCAGCCTTCCAAGTAGCTAGGACAACAGGTGTGAGCCACCAGCATCTGGCAGAGTTATTTTTGAGAACCCTTGAAAGCCTTTTTTTCCTGCATTAGATAATGAACAAGCTGTATAAATAGTGCCAATGAGGCTCAGGAATGTCTTTTTACAGTGATAATTTGTATAAATATACATAATCACCCTTGTGAGCTAGAACTGGGTACCATTTATGGAATGTAGAATTTCCTAGGGAAGCATCAACAACACATCTAGTATTGATTTGTTTTTGGACTTGCACTTGCTAGGCAGGTGCATCACCACTTGAGCCATGCTCCCAGCCTTTTTTTTTTTTTTTTGCTATGTTGCCAAGATGACTCAAGCAGTTGCCCAACTTCAGCTGCCCAAGTGGCTGGTACTGCAGGCATACATTACCATGCCTGTCTTTTGGGTGGCAGTGTTAAAGAAGTCCCACTCTTTAGACACAATAAATAATTACTGGGTGAATTTTTTAATCTCTACTTTTTTTAAATATAAATTTTAATGTAGAAAGAATAATTCAACAAGGTAAGGGAATCAGGATTTCTAGAACTAACTATAACAGACCACTTGTTTTGAGGTCTTCCTTGCATGTATAAAATGTAGATAATTACAAGTATGTCATATAATTGTTGTATAGAGCAACTTATGTCTTATATGTAAAGAACTTTGCAAATATCAAAGCCTGTCCTAATCTACATAGCTGTCATTATAAATATTTTACTGCTTATAACATTTTATTCACCTTAGTTCTTAGTGTAACTTCATTTTTTTCTATTTTACTAGACATTTTTGGTCCTGGTTTTGCTCATCGAGTATGCACAGTGAAGTTGACAGAATGTTGTTTTGTCTTGTTTTTTCTTGGCAGTTTTATAACTTTATTTTCACTCAGCTGTTAGTTCTCATCCACATTGACTGTAGATTTTTTAACATAGTAACAGGGACATAGGTCACCAAAGTATAGAGCTTGTTTGGCAATTCTTTATGCTTATTATGTTTTCTGGATAACCACACATAGATACGATATGGGACATTCCTTATTCCTTGGATCTAGACAGCTTTGTTGAGCCTGATATCGATGCACACATCTGGAGTCCCTATCTCCTTCATGGCAAATTTCCAGATCTCTTTGCATTTCTTAAAGCCCACTCCAGGGAGCCGCTTGTGAATGTTGATGGCAGAATGACCTTTCTTCTCGCCACCCTTCTTTGTGGGAGCCATTCTGCTGGACCCTTGACACAGTGTTTGAGTGGTAGCCAGTCTAAGCTCTGCCTTTATTCGCTATATAATTTTGAATAAATTAGAAATTCACATCTTATTTCTGAACATCATTCTTCTTGGTTGGAACAAGTAATCCTTAGGTCCCTTATAGCTGGTTTCTGTGAACATACATCTTCTTATATTCCTCCTTTCTACCTTATGCTTGGGGTAGGCAGTGTTAACTTTCTCTACTGCCCACCCATTCCATCCACCTTCTCCCACCTCTCTGGTCTCTTCAAGTTCCAAGTATGCTGGTTGCTTTAAAATAATTTTATAATTATTTAACATTTAGATGACTTTTTCATTTCTGGGTAACTCACCTTTTCAATTCCCTAGTAGATACTTTCCTAAAGCATCTGTGTTATTTCTACTTTTAGAAGATCACAGGTTCCTGGGTTTCTTTGTTGATAGTGGCATCAGTGCCTATGATTTTATAGTATAGCATGAGGTGAAAGTGACTACCCATCCAGTCCTATCTCTGGTCTTAGCACTGCCCCTTCAAGGATTTGGGAGGCTAAAAAAGGTATTATTCCACTTTAAAGGTCAAAGTGAAGATGTGAATCTAGAGGCAAGAACTAACTCTTCTTCCTTGACCCTTCCAGCCTCTTCTTTCCCTATTTAGGTTTACTCTTACAATTCTTTCTTTTCTTTCACTCTTTACCCTGCAAAGGATCACCTCTTTTGATTTTTTTCAGGTTCTTTTTCTTGTTCATCATGTCCCCCTTTACAACTTTCATGAAAAAGCTATTATTACTGTCTTGAGTGGGATTTGGCTTTCATTGATTAAACACTTGAAAATGAGTTTTGACTAATAAATGTAATTTTAAAAATATTCAAATGAATAATTTTGTCACTAAACCTTGATTCCTTTTCGCAGGATGGAGTTCTGGTGGATGAATTTGGATTGCCACAGATCCCTGCTTCATAAACTTGCATCAGTCAAGTTCATCATGTAAAACACATACATATTCTGGGACTAGGAAATGTTTCCAAATTTGCCGTAACAAATTTAGATTCCTTTTCTCTAGGAAAGGTTAATTTCACTGCTCCTTGATGATTACTTTTTCCATTAAGAAACATTGCTTGGGGGAGCTTTCTTTGTACTAAAATTGGATTCTTTTTGTCTTAGGGCAGACTAACTTAAAAGTATCTTTGACTTTATATGACTTGTTTTCACTTATTAATAATAATCTGAAATAAAGCCAAGGAGATGAGAATCTAAGTTCTATGACAGTGTAGGTCTACAGTCTCATTGTGACCTAAGTAATTGATAATATAAAGATGAGATTTTTGAGACTATTCATATTATGACTCAAAACCATTTTCTGTTATATTATTGGTGGGTTAAAGTGGTGGCCCTTTTTGATAGATTTTCTTGTGTCTTGTGAGCAAATCATTACTGTGTCCAATATTGGAATGGAATTATCACTATTGTGTCATGAAGTGGATATTTTGGTTCTATGGTTTCCACAGTATTATAGCTTGAGTTGTAATCAATAATGAATATTTCTTGATATTTAATGTATAGGACATTTATTTATACTCAATAAATATTTTTCAAAAGGATATAGTTTTAATATCACTCCAACCTAAAATTTCTACTACAGAAATCAAATTTAACCAGTAGCATTGTCTGGGTTTGGGCCCTAGGTCTGCCATCTACTAACTATTAAGTAGTCTACTTGACTTCTGTAATGCCTGTTTCCTTATTAGTAAAATTGTGTCTTCACAAAAGCTTTTGTGAATAATAGTTGAGGTAATGGTCTTAAGAACAGTATTAACTACAATGTGCTATTTTTTAGGGGTAAACTCAGGGCTTTATGTTTGTTAGGCAAGCGCTCTACCACTTGAGCCACATCCCCATCCCTTTTTGAGTTGTAACTTTTTGGATAGTGTCTCATGTTTTTGCCTTGGGCAGGACTTTGGTCCTCCTGCATACACCTTTCTCATAGCTAGGATTATAGATATTTGCTACCACAACCTGTAGATGGAGTTTTGACAATTTATTGCTTGGACTGGCCTAGAACCACAGTTCTTTTGACCTCTGCCTCCCAATTAGCTGGGATTACACGCAAGTGTCACCAAGGCAAGACATTTGTAAGGTGCCTTGGATGGTAATATACAGCAGATCCAAACTGCTGCCCAACTTCAGGGTCTTTAATAATCTCCATTTATCATTCATTCTTTCACCAACAGCATTCTCCCTCTAACCTAGCTTGACAAATACGGTGCCACATCCATTGGCTTTTCATGTCTGCAAATCAGACTAAAAAACACTGAACATTTAACTGCATAAGTCTCTGTAGTACCCCAGAGAATACATAGTCATAGTTATACTCTTCAAAAGTTTACTCTCAACTGGGTGCCAGTGGCTCGTGCTTGTAATCCTAGCTACTTGGGAGGCTGACATACAGAGGATTGTTGTTTGAGGCCAGCCCAGGCAAATAGTTCATGAGACTCCCATCTCCAAAATAACCAGACCAAAATGGACTAGAGGTGTGGTTCAAGCAGTGAAGCCCTGAGTTTAAACCCCAGTCCCACCAAAGAAAAAAAGTTTACTGACTAGTTGTAGGTGGAGATGAGACATGTATTTAACCTTGTCCCACCCTCACTGACCTCACCCTCTCAAGAAGTGTTCCAATGGGAGCAGTGTTAAAATACTCATCATTATCTGCTTATTGGCTTCTCTGAGTTCTCTGAGTTTTTCCATTTGGCCATTAATTCTGTTTCATGGACTCTTTTTTACTTAGCCCCTTAAATATTTGTTCTGTTATAGTTCCAATTTATACTCTGCTTAAGATATCTCACACCCATTAATTTAGCTATTACTTATGCACTAATGATTCAAAATAACTATTAGTAGCCTTGGGGTTTGAACTCAGTACTTCATGCTTCCTACGCAGGTGCTCTACCACTTGAGCCACTCCGTCAGCCCTTTTTTGTATTGGATATTTTTGTGGTCAGGTCTTGCTTTTGTTGTCTGGGCTAGTCTTGAACTGCAATCCTCCTGATCTCTGCCTCCTGAGTAGCTAGAATTACAGGCATGAGCCACTCATGCCTGTCTGGTCTTGGGGTTTAATATATCAGTCCTAGTTTGGAGGTGTGGCTCAAGTGATAGAGTGCCTGCCTAGCAAGTGCAAAGACCTGGTTCAAACCTCAGAACCACCAAAAAAAAATGAACTTAATATATCACCCTGAGAGTTGGGCAGGAGTGGAAATGGTACAATAGAGAATAAAAATTTGGGGCTGGAACTTGGCTAAAGTGATAGAACGCTTGCCTAGCAAGAAAATAAAAATTCGGCACATGTACTGTTTGTTTTTGTTTTTATTTTTATTTTTTTGGCAGTGCTGGTGATCAAACCCAGGACTTCACACATGCTAAGCAAGCATTTTACCACTGAGCCACATCCCCAATCCCTGACCCATGTACATCTAGCACCCATATACCTTAACTCTGTTTTGGGATTTTTATTTTTGAGACAGGGTCTCCATGCGTAGCCCAGGTTGGCCTCAAACACAGATCATCCTGCCTCAGCCTCTTGATTAGTAGGATTGTAGGCATTTGCCATAATGTACAGCTGGTACTTGGATTTTTAAAAGCTTCCCAGGTAATTTTTTTTTTCTTTTGGTGTTCATTCTTTGAACAAATGGTAGAATTCACTAGTGAAGCTATCTGAGCCTGAATTTTTCTTTTGGGAAAAAGTCTTTGTTTTTTGGCAGTGCTGGGCTTTGAACTCAGGATCTCACACTTGCTAGGCAAACTCACCTCTATCCCTAATTGTTTTTTCTAAGAGAGTCTTACTATGTAGCCCAGGCTGGCCTCAAACTTGCCATCCTCATGCCTAAGCATCCCAAGTGCTGGGATAATAGGCATGCAACACCACACTGACTGGAAAGGGGTTTTTTGTGTATATTGTTTTGTTTTTTTGGTTTTATTTTAAGACAGGGTCTCATAATCTAGCCTAGGCTCCTATGTGAGCCTCCCATGTGCTGGGATTATAGGCATGCACTACCACACCTGGCCTTATTTTTTATTAATAAACTATTTGTTAGAATAGTTTTCAGTTCATAGCAAAATTGAGTGTAAATTACAGAGCATTCCCATATCCCATATCACCTCCTCTACTATCAGGAGAGTTGAAATCATATGGTTATATCCTGTTAAATTGCCTTCACTTGGCAATGTACATTTAATTTTCCTTCATGTCTTTTCATGGCTTGATAATTCATTCATTTTTAGCACTGAGTATTACTCCATCATCTGGACTTTTTTAAAATGATGTGTTTACAGCTATGAATCTCTGTCCAAGCACTGTACTTACCACCTGTCATAAATTTTATTGTACCATGTAAAGTGTTTTTGTATAGGACAGGCAGGATAAATGGCTTACTTACATTTATTTACAAGTTTGGAAAATAATGAGTAGGTTCTCTAGTGTGCCAGTGATAAATGTATTGCTTTTCAGCTCTAAATTCATCCTTTTTTCCTGCTCTGTGAAATTGAGTGGGGTACTTTAAACACTTATCCTTTGTCAGCTGGCACATATTAAGCTTGTCAGTCGAGGACACTGGAGAAATGATGCTGGAGGTAAGGGTTTTACTTCCTGCTTCTGGAGTGTCAGGTGACTAGGCTTCTGTGGTGCGAGCAGATTTTCCAGTGCCAGGCGCTCCTTCAGTGCACATGGCTTCTTCATTGCCTGACTGTTGCAGTGTATGGTGTCCAGTAGCTACAAACTTCTCCAACATTCCTTGCAGGTGAATTACAGTGAAGTTCCTCCACTGGGTGCTGGTGGCTCACAGCTGTAATCCTAGCTATTTGGGAGGCAGAGATGAGGAGAATCAGGTTCAAAGCCATCCCAAGCAAATAGTTTGCAAGACCCCCATCTCAAAAATACTCAACACAAAAAAGGGCTTGTTGAGTGACTCAAGTGGTAGAATGCCTGCCTAGCAAGCGTGAAGCCCTGAATTCAAACCCTGGTACCGAAAAAAAGTGAAGTGCTTCTGTGAGACACTAAGAATGACTTTCACCAGCACCCTAGAAGATGGATGTCTGGCCATTTCCTTGCCATTCTGTGAGTCCCAGGCATGTCCTTGACTCTACTCTGGGCTCTTCCTTGGACACTGTCAGCTGTCCAGGGAATGGGTGCTCCTTAGAGCTGCTTATCCTGTATTCTTTTAGAGTCCCCTTACTTGTTTACCTAGCCAATCCCCTATTACTACAACCCCTGCTTATTGTTAAGTTGTGTGTGTGTATATGTGTGTGGTACTGGAGATCGAATCCAGGGCTTCATCTTGTTAGGCACTCTACCACTTGAGTCACACCCCCCCAGCCCTAGTTGTCTTTAAATAAAACCTTTCCACAAAAAGAAAAAAATAACAAACTTAAATTACCCTATTTAAATTAATATGTGATTCTCCGTATGTTCTCCCTCATGCAGACATTAGATCAAGGGCAAACACAAGGGGATTGGACTTCGATCACATGATAAAGCGAGAGCACACAAGGGAGGTATGAGGATAGGTAAGACACCTCAAAAATTAGACAGCATTGTTGCCCTCAATGCAGAGAAACTAAAGCAGATACTTTAAAGCAACTGAGGCCAATAGGAGAAGGGGACCAGGAACTAGAGAAAAGGTTAGTTCGAGAAGAATTAACTTAGAAGGTAACACACACGCACAGGAAATCAATGTGAGTCAACTCCCTGTATAGCTATCTTTATCTCAACTAGCAAAAACCCTTGTTCCTTCCTATTATTGCTTATACTCTCTCTTCAACAAAATTAGAGATAAGGGCAAAATAGTTTCTCCCGGTAACGAGGGGTAAGGGGGGGTGTAAGGGAGGGGGCGGGGTAAGGGGGAAGAAATGACCCAAACATTGTATGCACATATGAATAAAATAAAAATTTAAAAACAAATATGTGATACTCCTGATTGACCTAGACTCATACTCCTGGTATTTGTAAAAGCAATAAAATTTATTTGATAAGCTGACCCATCAAAATTAAGAATTTGTGGGTAGGCATGGTGGTGTTTGCCTGTAATCTTAGCACTTGGAAGGCTGAAGTAGGAGTAGTAGTTTGAGTTTGAGGCCAGCCTGGACTATAATAGCAAGACCCTGTCATTGGTGGCTTCTGCAATCCTAGATACTCTGGAGGCAGAGATCAAGAGGATTGAGGTTCACAGCCATCTTGAGCAAATAGTTTGTGAGAACCTATCTCAGAAATACTCAACACAAAAAACAGTGGCTCAGGTGGTAGGGTGCCTGCCAAGCAAGTATGAGAGAGGCCCTGAGTTCAAAGTACTACCAGTACTGCCCCTACCCTCCCCCCAAAAAAAACCCTGTCTGAGAAAAACAAGGATTTATGTTCACTAAAGGACAAAATTAATAGAATTGATGTGTAGAAGTCAACTTAAATGTCTGAAACTGCCAAGGAGTTACTGTGCACAATATACAAGAAACTGACCATAAGAAAAGTACAGCATCCCCAACAGAAAAATGGGAAATGGATATGAATAAGCAGATTAAAAAGAGGAAACTCAAAAGATCACCAAATCTTCAAACTCAGGCTGGTGAGT